ACAAAAAAAAAAAAAAAAAAAAACAATTCAAGGCGTCGACAGTGACATTCGTCGATAATTGATTACACGGCACATCTCAACTGCAATAAAAATATGTAAAAATATAAACAACACTCCCGGGAGTCGTGTGCGTCGACGACGCTCCGATTCTCCGCGACATGTTATTGATTTTTGAATGTGTTTATACGCCTGGCACGTCCACCGCCGCGTGCCGCAGCCGTATAGCGTATCGCAGTCGTCTTATCTGTGCGCCGCTGCTGCTACCCTACGTTCCATCGGTTAGTATAACAGCTGCGAACTAAAAAAACTTCGCGATGTCGTAGGCGACGGTGTTTAACTGCCAGAATGAAAAGGTATGGCAGGATTTAAAAATGATTTCATCGACTATTGTAAATTTCTGATTGTGACAATTTTTGGAGATATTATACAAATGAACCCTTTCAATATCGGCCATTGTACGAGCGGGGGTAAGAGAGTCGACAGTGTAGGGAATAGGCTTTTTCTATCCCAAGTCATTTTTAGTTCTAACAGGCAACAATTGAGGGAAACAATTCAAGTCTTTTACTTAGATGATCATGTTTTAATCGGAAGAAAAAATCAATACTAATTTTTATTCGTTTACTTATTCATATTTTTTATTTAAATAAATGGTGTCAACAAGTTTCTCACTATTTATTTCGTCACACATTTGTTTCGTTTTTTATACAGTAAACGTTGAAAAAAGAAGAGATTTCTCAAATCTGCTCGAGTTTCATTACCATAATTGTGTTTCTCCATCTACAAGCGAATCAGCGAGGCCCGAATCTTTGCGTTCTTTTGCACCACCTACGAGTGACTCAGCGAGTCCCGAGTTCTTGCGTTCTTTGAAACCTGCTATTGATTCGGGCAGTCCTGAATCTTTGCGTTTTACTGCACCTACGATCGATTCAGCGCGGCTTGGACCCTTGAGTTCTTTGATGTCCACGAGGAAATCCTCGCCTTCTTCCATAATTACAATCGAATCGACTAGTTTGGAATCGCGTCCTCTCGTAACTGCGAGTAACTCGAAGCGGCCCGAATCTTTGTGCTCCTTCACGACTGCGATGGAATCGGCGAGGCTCGAATCTTTGCGTCCTCTTGTAACCGCGAGCGAATCAAAGAGGCCCGAGTCTTTGTGATCTCTCAAGACTACGATCGAATCGGCGTAGTTCAAGTTTGCCTTTTTCTTGCTACATTCCACGTCCTCGAGTTTTTCCATCGTTGCGCACGGCTCGCATGTGTCTTCTTCCGGCCGCTGCTTCACTCTGTACCGATAACGCAGGCGTGGATCTTGATCGGCCGTCAGCCAGACGTGATGCAGATATCGGTTCATCAGCTGCTCGACCAATTGTTCGTTCTCGCGGGCGTACCTCGTGTCGCGCGCGTGTCGAAGAAAGAATCCACGCGACACTTGTTCGGCCAGTAGCCTGACGCAGGTCTGGCTGTACCTCTCGGGCAGCGCCAGCAGCGGCGACAAGACCGCCGCTTCCTTTTTCTTCTTCCTGATCGGCCGCAAGGACCTCTCCCTCTCTTGTCTCATTCTCTTTTCCAACTCGATGTGTTCCCTGTACGTTACTCCTTCCGCCGTTAATTCTTCGGGTCGTTTGTCAAGCAGCTCGTAGAGCGACAGGCTCGGAGTCATCGGGATGCTCTTGACTGCATCCAGGAAACATGCATCCTGGCGCCACGTCGCCTCGCCGTCCAGATCCGCCCAGCTCTGGAGCAGATCGTTATCGGCGAAAAATTGCATGATCGTGGCGATGCCTCGCTTCGGCAATTTCATTCGTTTCTCCAAGCACTCGACAACACCGATAGCACCGGCCGCCAGTCTTATTCCGAAGTAACCCGAACGCTCGTTGCTCGAGAGATCGTACTCGACGCCGAAGTGATCCTCCGTGGGGAAGGCGAAGCGATCGATATCGGCGCCACGATCCAAGAGCAGCTCGACCAGATCCGGCCGAAGATTCGCCACGGCCACCTGCAGCGGTGTCAGACCCCACTCGTCCTTCTCGTCGAGCTTGATCAGCCGGCCCAGCTCGTCGTTGACCCGGAAGAACAGCTTCATCAGATCGTCCCAATCGTCGAGTCTCTCGCAGATGACGTGCAGAGGCGTTCTGCCCTCGTCGTCGGCCAGATTCGGATCGACGTCGCCTCGTCTCAGCAGAAACTCCGTCAGCTCCGGGCTGCCCCGGCGCAGAGCCAGATGCAGCGGTCTCTCGCTGGCTCGTACGAGATCGGCGCCGCGCCGCAGCAGAAACTCCACCAGCTTCGCGTTGCCCCGACGCAGGGCCAGACGCAGCGGCGTCCTGCCCTGCTCGTCCTCGGCGTTGATCTGCGCCACCACCGACAGCTCGATGTCGTCGACCTGCGTCGACGCGTCGATCCGGACGATCTGCGCCGGTTTCGCGATCTCGTCGACCTGCGTCGACGCGTCGATCGTTTCGACCAGTGGCGACTTCTCGCCCTTCTGCGTCGTCTTATTTTTCAATGTTGGTTTTGACCTGCTGGCTCGCGTCCTTCTTCTTTTCGACTTTTTCTCGCTCTCGTCGACCTCCAGCGACTCCTCGAGTTCGACGTACATCAACGGCCTCTGGATCATGTCGACCTGCACCTCGACATGGCCTACCTGTATCGACTTCTCGATCTTACCGAACTGCGTCGACTTTTCGTTCTCGTCGTCGTGCTGCACCGGTATCAGGTCGTCGACGTGCACCCACATGGCGTCGAGCTGCACCTTCTGCAGGGTTTCGTCGTCGGCCAGTAACAACTTCTCCAGCTCGTTCTCGTCGTCCTGTACCTTCGGCAAGTTTTCGGCGTCGTCGACCGGTACCGACTCGTCGCTCTCGTCGTGCTGCACCGACGCATCGTCGTCCTCCTGCTCCGATATATCGTCGTCGTCTTCGTCGTCGTCGTCGTTCTGCGAAAATATACCATCGTCGTCTTGCTCGTTCGCGTCCCGCACCTGCTTCCTCCGTCTGCGATCGTAAATCTTGAAGAACAATTCGGCCAGCTCCACGAAGTCGTTGGGCCGGTCGCAGATGACGTGCAGAGGCGTCGTGGCCTCCTGGTTGAGCAGATAGGCGCGGGCGCCCTCGTTCAGCAGCAGCGCCACCAGCCTGAGCTTGCCGTGGCGCAGAGCCACGTGCAGCGGCGTCCTGCCCATCAGCTCGTCGCGACAGTTGACCAGCAGCGGCCTGTACTCGTCGCGCGCGAACTCGAACAGATACCTCGCCATCCTGTAGCCGTTCTTCGACTCGTTCTCGCAGATCAGGTGCAGAGGCGTCAGTCCCTGGCGATTGGCCAGATTCGGATTGGCCCCCCTCTGGAGCAGCGTCTTCACCAGGGTCGTGCAGCCCCAGTGCACCGCGAGATGCAGCGGCGTGTTGCCCGTGTCCGGCACCGGGAGATTCGGGTCGTGGCCCGCGTCCAGGAATTTCCGCACCACGTTGTCGAGGGCCGCCTGGCAGGCCGCGTGCATGTGCGTGAATCCCGCCTCGTCCCGGTAATTCACGTCGAACCTGTCGTAGATCCGGAAGAGCATCGGCATGATGTTGCGGTTTCTCACGCGAGGATTCATCAGTCGCGCCTCGTGGTGGATCGCCGTGACGCGAGTTTCAAACGGCTCGCTCGGCTCGCGATCGTCCCTGTAGCCGCTGTTGAACGCGAACTCGACCAACACCGGTCCGGCGCGTTTCACGATTTTTCTCCAGCCCACGGGATACATGTGCGATTCGGGCTCGACGGCCTGTAAGAGAAGCCAGTCCATCTCCTCGGTGCTGAAGATCTCTCGAAGATTCGGAGCCGGACCGACCCAGAACTGACACAAGTACACCAGGAGGTCGTGGAACATTCTGTATCTCCGCTCTTCGTTCCTCCAGTCGAATAATCGCAATTTCTTCAATTGTTGCAAGTGAGGTAGATTGAGCCGCTCTATTCGGCGTTTTTCCGCTAGTTGTCTTTCTTGTTCTTCTTTTATTTTTAATTTTTTTTCCTCTTTTCTAGCTTTTGCTGCTGCTTTTCTTTTAGCTTTTCTAATTGCTTTTTTATTAGCTTTTTTTTCTTTTTCTTCTTCTTCTTCTTCTTCTATTGTTTGGCATTGTGGACGTTGGGCAGAGTCCTCACCGAGTTGCAGATCGTTCGTCGTCATAATTCTGATACGCCTATAAATATCGATTTTAATATAGGTATTAGTAAATTGTCAAAATATCAATTTTGACGAGTCAAATGCTTGCTCATTATTAAATGTCGACGTTTCATCAGGATGCTCATACAAGTACATAAAGAAGGAAGGTGTTACAAACATTATCTTGTAAATTGTATGTATTCGTGCTTGTTACAGTATCCTGATGAAGACAAGGAAACCTTATCGAAAAATCGATATTTAGCAATAAACAATCATTCGACTCACCAAAATCGAAATTTTGACAATTCAATACCTATACAATGCTCACTGAGTGAAGTTTGACAAGTTTTTTTAAAAAAATCACTTTTAATACTTTCGTGTATTCAACGAAATACTCGCGTGAATCGTTACTGGACGTATTCCTCTCAACGTTCTGAGTCTCGAGCCGTATATATAGTGTAGTCGTTCAGCGACCCGATAATTTGAACACAACACTAAATCGAGATAAGATTATACTTGGTATATACATACAGATCGATGCTTGATATTATTCCGGTATGGTAGCTGAATAATTTAATAATTTGAACGGCACTCATATATGACGAGACAAAACTTTTGTTAGAAAAGAAAAATAATATCTCAAAAAATTGTTGTACCACTTTTTCTTGCTCTCTCCATCATTCCAGTCAAAATTCATTATTTATTTTGTATTTATTAATTCATACTCGCGATGTTGAAAATCTGTGACATCGAGAAATGTTTTTATTTCTACAATCGTTCGTTGCCTATGTACTCTCATTGTTAAAGAGACAGGAGTAAACGCGCGAACCCCGATTCATGCAAAAGCAGACAAGATGTGCCATCGCGGTATATATGCTCGACACAGCGACAGTTTCAACGCGATAACAGCAGCATGGCATGTCAGTGGGTCGCTTCGGTAAAGTTTTGCGGCCGTAACGCAACAACTCCGAGCTTTTTTTCATAACCTCGACATTTTTCAAAAATAAAAAACAATTTTGATGACTAGTTGCGATTGTTACGATTGTTGAACCGGCAATAATACACCAACGTGTCGTTGTTTGTTCGACTAAAGTCAATTTACATGTTGTCGTGAGTTTATAACTGCCTTCAATAATCTGTAAAATAATGAAAGCAGACGATGGCGAAAAAGTCCAACCAAATTCACCGAGTGAATCTCAATCGTCCTCTGCGACTCCTTGGGAATTCGAAGATTTATATCCTCAGAGGAGAGGAGCTCCGAAAAAAATCAACTGGTGGAGAGCCATGTGGGGTCTCGAGGGTAAAGAAGAGATTGAAAAGATGAAATGTGAAAGGCATGCCTATTGGGCTATGAGAAATCGTTGGTTTGACTTTTTAAATTATTTATTCAATCTGTGCTGTCAATTGAAATGATAAATTACTATAAATTACTATTTGATTTAAACCTTATTACAGATCCTCTTGTAAAGGTCTTGATAGGAGCATTGAATTCAGCAGGATGGTATGTTGATTCTTAATCTATCCATTCATTTGTCACTTTGAACAGTTCTGATAATTTAACAAGTTTTATGAAATAATTTCAGTGAGTTTGACATGACCAGACACATATCTTGTGAAACGTGTGATAACAGAATAGCTGGTGGCTTTGATCCAGAATTTAACCAGGTAATTTTAGTTAACTTTTTGATAGTTGTTTTACTTTAAATTCATGAAAGAAAAATAGTAATTTTAATTATTGACTCCAGGTTGTTATTTGTCAAAATGTGGCAAGGAGAAGAAAAACTGTGCAAGGAACACTCATTCATGAATTGATTCACATGTTTGATTATTGCGTAAATGATTTGGATTTCAAAAATATTCGCCACTTAGCGTGTACAGAAATCCGTGCTGCAAATTTGGCTCATTGTAGTATAATGAGTGCTTGGGTTTCTGGTACAGCCAAACCTTGGCATTTCAAGGGCAAGCACGCTGTAAGAATAATTGAAATAACTACTTTAAAAATTCCATGTTCTAAATACAGAATACTGTGAAACATTTATTTATTTTTCAGGATTGCGTTAAACAAAAAGCATTGACTTCAGTTATGTCTGTGAAAAAAATATCCAAAGAAGAAGCGATGAAGGTGATTGATGAAGTATTTCCTCAATGTTATGCTGATTTAGAACCCATTGGAAGACAGTGCAGGAGAAATTCAGTAGAACCATTTTTGGTGTGGGAAGAAGCACCTATGTACGGATACGATTATCATCTGTAGAAATGAATAATGTAGAAAAAAAAACTTGTAAATGTCATTTGTTAAAACTTGTACTATAACTTTGTAATGTTAATGAAATAAAACAAATTTTATGATTTTAGAATACTACATAAAGTTTGACAATGAATGAAACGAAAGACCTAAGTCGTGTTTCAAAATGTGCAAAAATTCGCGAACCCGCAAACAGATTATAAGTGAAGCCTAAACGTATGATTTTGGCACAATTCGCACGACAATCTGAGTTGACTCAAATCCCTGTTATATTACTGGCGCGAAACAATAGAGTAGAACGTCCATTCAAGAATATGCGATGATGAATTTGCTCGGCAGAACACGCGGTACTACCACGAGCACGATGTCTCTTCGTCGTATAATAAAAATGTATCGTTGAATCGTGCCTTTGTACAGTTGAATATAGTTGTTTTGTTGACTTTTTTTTCAACTTTCCATGTTGTGATGCTGTTCAATTTAAACAGGCGATGTTATCCAGTTGATATTTGTATATAAAAAAAAAATCCGTTGAGTTTTAGCTCTTAACGATTGTTGTTCGTGTGTCCGTTTATTGTTGACAAGTGCAAATTATATTAATTACAAGATAATTTCAAAATGACGGAATTTGTTGACGGATGGCTTCTCGGAGATATACTCGGCGAGGGAGCTTACGGAGAGTGAGTAATTATTTGAACAAAAATTCAAATGAAATACAGCAGCCGGTGTTTTTTTGTATTGTTGCACCACGCAAATTAACGCTCTTCTTTTCCTGGCAGAGTTCGAATGGTCATTAATAAAGTAACTAATGAAGTAGTCGCGATGAAGATGATTGACCTGGAAAAACATCCAGATGCAAAAAATAATGTCAAGAAAGAAACGACGATTCATCGCATGCTGCGAAATCCATATATTATACAATATTTTGGGCAGCGAAGTGAGGCCAATACAGAATACATATTTTTAGAATATGCTTCGGGTGGCGAACTTTTCGATCGAATAGGTATGAACAATTTTTTCAAAGTAAAGTCTACAAAGTTCATTCATCCATCCGCTACCTATTTTCTCCCATTCTTTTAGTCAGATAAACTTCTATCCTCAGTTATTCCTTTAATTTCATTAAAATATAGGTAAATAATACATTGATATAATAAAATATTGTGTGCTTTATTTAATGCTCTAACTACAATTATTTTTATTGTTGCAGAGCCTGACGTTGGAATGCCTACAGAGGAAGCTCGCAAGTATTTTAGGCAACTCATTTCGGCAGTAGAATATCTTCACAGTAGAGGAGTAGCACACAGAGACTTGAAACCAGAAAATCTTTTGCTTGACAGCAATGATAATTTAAAAGTAACTGATTTTGGACTAGCTACAGTATTTCGAATCCGTGGTAAAGTACGTCTGTTGGATAAAAAATGTGGGACTCTGCCTTATGTAGCTCCTGAAGTGTTGGAACGACCTTATAATGCTGAGCCTGCTGATATTTGGTCATGTGGTATAATATTAATTGCATTGCTAGCTGGAGGTACAAAATTAATTTTCTTTATAATTAATTTTTTTCAAAAATATAAGTGTAAGTAATATTATTATTTTCAGAACTTCCATGGGACCAAGCTGGCAAAGATTGTCCAGAATATATAGCCTGGCGAAACAATGAATACATTCATTTGACTCCATGGAAAAAATTGGAAACAACAGCATTAGCTTATGCACAAAAAATATTACGACATGAACCAGATGCAAGGTATACACTAGAAGAAATAAAGAACAATAGGTGGTTCAAAATTGGTTACTCTAAAGGTAATTGTCTTGTGACAGATTTAAAAGATGATATAATTATTTTCATGATAAAATGACTCATACTTGAACCTTCTTGTATATAACAGATGAATCAAATCCACACAAAAAGATTGTTGCAAATGAACCTAAGATTGACAGAAAAACAGAAGCTTTCTGTTTCTCTCAACCTTCAGAGTTACCTCCGCTTGGTATTAACAGCTTGACAAGCATGCAATTAACAGAAAGAACTGGTCTGTCTTTCTCGCAGCCTGTGTGTGTTGAAGATTTATTTGTTTCAAGTCAACTACCTCTTACTCAAGCAAGCCAGGTAAAATTAAAATTTTTAATTAAATATCTGATTATAAAAATCATTTTCTTATAAAAACTTTCAGAGTTCTTTCCAAAATTTGGTGCGGCGTATGACACGCTGCTTTGCATCTACTAATTGCGAGGAGACCATCAAGACTTTGACGAACTTGTTGACCAAAAATAATTATCATTTCCGTGTCAATGATTTTGGGACTGTAAGTTTTTTGAAACAAATTATAAATTAATGGAATGATCAGATTCTTATAACAGGTTTATCATAATTACGTTATTTTTGCAGATTACTATTTCAACTGTAGATAAAAGAAAAATGCCTTTGGTATTCAAAGTTAATATAATAGATATGGATAACAAAACAATGATTGACTTCCGTCTGTCCAAGGGATGTGGTATTGAATTCAAAAAGGAATTTGTAAAAATAAAAGCTCTTATGAGCAGCATACTGCTCAGTACTCGAACAGACACAGAAAAAATGGAAAATACAGAAAACACAGAAAACACAGAAAACACAGAAAAGATAGAAAACACAGAAAAGACGGAAAAGACAGAATAAATATTTTTATAAATTTTTTTAGAAATGAATGAGTAATTAATTCTGATAAGCAATCCCATTTTTAATTAGTCAAAATTCAATAGATGATTTCAAGTTTATTTACAATTAGCTTTCATAAAATATTGCTTTATGCATCTGAGATAAAGCTTAGTAAGATTTTTCGTGTAAAATATTTGATATAAAATATAACGTGATGCAATTACTTTTTCAGCTTCTTAACGCGTTCATTTAAAGCACTAATATCGTTAGTAATGATTTCAAAGTTGTTGCTAAAATTTTTTTGCATTTCTTGCAGTAGAACTTGATTATTTCCTAATGATCCTTTTATGTTTTGTTCCAAGTCTTCCAATTCTTTTAGTCGATTGACGAACTCTAAAGCTGTTGAAGAAAAATTGAAAAATGAATGATCTCATAAAGTAAATAATCTAATTATGCAAGAAAACAGGCCTCAATTAATAAAAATAACAAAAATTTTTTACAATTAAAAAGTTACCTTTTCCATGCAAACCACTCAAGGCTACCAATCTATCAATAGTTTGAGGCAGTACTTGTGAGACACTTTCTGTTTGCTTCACAAGCTCATATAGTTCAGAAACCTATAAAGTATAAAAAAATTAAAATTCAATATTTAACAATATCAAAATGAAAAAGTGAGCTTACAGTTTGTTCATATTTGTTATCTTCTCCTGCTTGTTCTTTTTTTTGTATAACAGTATCCATTTTATGCAGTAATGTGCTCATTTTATTTTCTAATATATCTAATTGACTGCTATTGAGCAAACAAGCATTAGCCATTAATTTTTCAATTGATTTTTGGATCCCTTGAGTTTTAAGCAATTGAGAAGTTTTAGAAGTACTATCAGTAGGTTGTCCTATTAAACTTTCCAAATGACCCAATCTTTTTTCCAAGTGACTGATTCTAGCAACATCTTGTACCTTAGCTTTATCTGGAAAGTAAGTCATTTGATATTTAAGAGTTCCTTTTGCAACCTCTTGATTTCCTTTGTTAGTTTCTTTCTGAGTAGCAGCACTTGATGCATTCTGTTGTTTGAACAATTCGATTTGCGCTTTCAGCTCCCTATTGGAAAATAAAAAAATTCTCTTTATAAATTCAGAATTATACTAGTTAAAAGTGTAAAATATTCAAAAGAGCTTACTTAAAACGAAGTTCTTGATGATTGGACATAGCTGAAATAGAATCTTTGCCTAAGATTTTTTCAATATCTAAAGAATCCAATTCTTTTCCAGTATTTTCTATTTGATTAATTATATCTGCTAAGGATTTGGGTTCTTCTTTTCCTTTTGTATATTCCTGAAAATAACATTAGACATTTATAAAAACAGTTCATTTTTATCTCTAGAACATTGAATAACTACATACTTTTATCTTATTAATTTGTTCCAATAATTCTTGAATTTCAATTTTTATGCGTTGATATTTTTCAATGGGTGTTTCATCTTCTCCTCTTCCTGACAGTTTCCATTCTCCAGAACTAAAACAAATATTTAAAAATATAAGCAATTTCTCTTTAATTTATTCATAATCTACATGTTAATTGAAGTGAAACTTCTATTTTTTAATAAAAATAACAGTGATTACATACTGAACCTTGTAACCCAGTTTAGCTTTCATAGTGATAGTGTCTGAAAAGTCAGCATCGTGCGAACTGACTCGTTTATCTTTGAATTTATTGTACGAGTCATTAGCATTCACATAAATTTTTTCAATAGCATCACTTTCATCCTGAGAATGTAAAAACATTTGTCAAATATGCCATTAGTACTATTTCAAAATTGACATCAGCGACATTACATACCCCTGCATATTCTTGTAGAGGTTCATTTGGCTGAGGATCTTCAGTTTCATACACATCTGGTTGATCTCGAGCCTACAAAAAATTCGGTGTCGAAATTCATTTGATGTTTATTTGATGTTTATTTATTCAAACTGTCGAAACTTACGATTCCAGGTAGTTCGGCGTACTTGGGATCAATCATTGTTTATTGTCTCTTTGTAAAAAGTAAACACTACTGGTATAGATATGATAATACTGTCACAGGGAGACACTCGCACTACGTACTGTGTCACTTCAGTACCAAACTCACCACGATTATCTGATCAATGTATATAATTCTCAGCAACAGATAAAAGAATGACACCAATGCCCAGAAAAATTACTACCCGTAGAAATCCCTTTAAAAAATCCCGGAGTCGAGATTATATTCAATTATGGTCAAAACCCAACTCTTTCTTGTCATTAAAGTATACGACTGCTCTATCCATGGATTTGTAATTTTGTATATCTATATATACGCACTGTGTATACATACACACAAACGAGAAAAAAATCGGAGCGATGTCTACAATGTAGTGATCCAGTGCGATATTTTCAGTCTTCTACATTTAAAAATTACACCAACATGAGTGTAGGTATTAAAGCTTATAGCGATTTTCAAGATTGTTTTCGATCGTCGGAAGCAACTGCGAGCGTTTCAAATTCTTATGCCAATAAACAAGTCACAGATTTTGCTATTGTTTGGAAATCGTGAATTTCAATTTCACTTTGACGGAGAGTTAGCTGTACTATGGTAAAGAAAATTGATTTTGTTTATTTTGCAAATTGAACTTGAAATTGATTCAACTTCGAATTTTTGTTGAAAATTAGCACAGAATAATTTTAAGCATACAAATAAATTGCATTGAACCACATTTGCTCTTTCTATGAATGGGAATTGTTTGTCCTGCCCTCGGGAATCCCATCAGAAAGATTCCATCCCTGCTTCGTTCTATTTTGGTGGATAAAAAACCAAGCAATATTCAGACTCTGCTTTCACGTCATGTTATTGAAATATCACTCATTTTTCACCTCTTTAATCAATGAGTACAAACACTATTCACTTCTGAATCTTGCATAAGTACAAAACCAAATAAAACCGCAGTTCCCGAGTGATTTTTCTACGTTCATTTTACTGCATAAAACATGCACTCGATCATTTCAATAAATATAAGCTTTAAACATCGTGTGAGGTTGAAGAATGCAACTCGGGAACTTTTGCATTCAAAATCTACTTAAGTACTTCGCTTCTTCGTTGCCACACCAGGGATCGCAACGGTATCGTTTGATTCGCAAAATTTAAAATTCTCGCAATCGTTCTACCGGCATTCTATTCGCTCGACGCATCGAGTGTAGACACCCATGGTCATTATAAAGGGCACGAAGAAAAACAAAACGCCGAGCTGAACTGTCAGTCGGCCGTCGTCACGAGGCACAGTACAAATACACACACACAAGCACACGCACATTTTTCGTCGTCGTACATGGGTCACGATCAGAAAGTTTTCGCCGAGCAACATTTGGATTGCCGATTAAGAACGATATCCGGGGCAAAAATCATCTAAAGGTCATCTTCGCAACTGCAGCGAACTCCATCCTTTGTCAACAAGATGGCCAAGTTCCAGAGGCCGGAAAATGCGCTTAAAAGAGCCAATGGTAATATACATTATAATCTTGTTGTTCGATCGATCAGCCATGAGTTATTTGTATTGATTCGGAGTCGTGTGTGAAGTGTATAAAATCGCGGGATGCCTCGACGGTCGAGTGTTCGAGGTTTTCAATTATAAGTTCAAATGCGATTATCAGCGCGGCACGCTGATGGCGCGAGAACGAGTTTCAAACAATGATTTTTTTTACCCTTCTTTCGCGATGCAATTTTCGAAAACATAGACCTGCCGAATTTACTTTTCAATGTATGCAACATAAGAATTTAGTCATTAAAGAACGAAATGATTTCTTGTGTTCCTTGACACTTACTTCATTTATTTTCATTTGCAGAATTTATTGAAGTTGGCAAAAAAAACAGAGCTCTTGATACACTTCAAGACCTTTTCAAGAACAGAAGACGTTGGACTGGCACTTGGACGGAATCAGTTCTTGAACCAATAATGTATAAATATTTATCATTATGCGTGGAACTACAAAAATCTCACGCTGCCAAGGAAGGTCTCTTCCAGTACAGAAATATGTTTCAGGCTGTAAATGTAAGCAGCTTGGAAATGGTTATCAGATACTACTTGCGGCTGGCAGAAGAAAAAACAGAAGCAGCTCGAAAACAAAGTCAACAAGCTGTACTTGACATTGATGATCTTGATAATATTGCTACTCCTGAAAGTATTTTACTTTGTGCTGTCAGTGGCAATGATGCACAAGACAGAAGGGATAGAGCAATTTTGACCCCATGGGTCAAATTTTTATGGGACTCATACTGCCAGAACCTTGATCTATTAAAAATCAATGCACATCTTGAAACTTTGTACCATGAAATTGCTCGCATGGCTTTTGCATTCTGTTTGAAGTATGTCCGCAAGACTGAATTCCGCAAATTATGCGAAAAACTGCGCAAACATCTGGATGACATCACTAAATTGCCTCAAGTACCAGCTAATGTTTCCATCAACAAAGTGGAAACTCAGCAACTCATGCTAGAAACTAGATTGATTCAATTAGACTCAGCAATTCAAATGGAATTATGGCATGAAGCCTACAAAGCTATTGAAGATATTCATGGTCTAATGAATCTTTCTAAAAAATTGAAATCTCCTAAAACCATGGCCAATTATTACCAAAAATTAGTAATGGTTTTCTGGAAAGCAGGCAACCATTTATTCCATGCTGCTGCTTTGTTTAAGTTATTTCAATTGTCACGAGACATGAAAAAAAACATGTACTCAGAAGAACTCCAGGAAATGGCTAATAGAGTGCTTTTGGCTATTCTGTCAATTCCACTGCCTTCTGCTCATCCAGAATACGACCGTTTCATTGAAACTGATAAAAGCCTAAATGAGAAAACACAAAAGCTTGCTACATTAGTTGGGTTGCTTCAACCTCCTTCCAGAGCTTCCTTGTTGAAGGATATTGTTCGACTCAATGTTGTGAATTTGGCTTCACCCCCTTTTCAGGACTTATACAACTGGTTAGAAGTGGATTTTCATCCTCTTGAACTGTGCAGTCGAATTGAATCTGCTTTCTCCCAATTGCCACAAGATAAATTGAGCCCATTACTGCAGTATATTCCAGCCTTGAAAGACTTTGCACTTGTTCGCCTAATCCACCAGGTATTTAAAATTTTTTAAATTATATGTATTCAACATTTTTTAATTTTATTTAACAAAAATGCTTTGATTCATGTAGATCGCTCAAGTCTATCAGACAATCAAATTGACTAGATTGATTGAGCTAGCTAAATTTACCGATGCGTTTCATCTTGAACGGATTCTAGTGGATTGCGTGCGTTTCAACGATATGCAGATACGTATCAATCATGGCAAGCAAATCATCCATTTCGGAGTTGACTTGTCTGAGGCTCAACGCGAGAATCATCCCTATGGTCCAGTGCTGCAAGCTATGCCATCCGAGCAGATTCGATGCCAATTGGTCAACATGGCGAATGTGCTTCATCGCGCCAACAATATTATCAATCCAAATACAAAGAAACAAGAGCGCGAAAAGCTCCGTGCACAGTTGGTGCAATATTATCACAATACTAAATTGAAAGAGCACAAACGCATCCTTGAGCGTCAAAAGATTATTGAGCAGCGCAAAGAGTATATTGAGCATATCAACTATGTGCGCGAACAAGAGGAAGAGCGTCGCCAAGAGGAGATCCAACGTCAACAACAATTGGCCGAACAAAAACGCCTTGAGCAGGAGAGAGAAGAACGAGAACGTAAACGTCAGAATTCTGAGATTCAACAGATCAAGAACCGCACGTTGAAGGAAAAAATGTATCAAATCTCGAAAACGAGTCATGGACAGAAGTTCCTAAAAAAACTGGATGAAGATGAAATCAAGAAGCTCGATGCCGAGCAAATAGCTGCTCGCGAGATTGAAGAACTGCAAAAAGAGCGCAAAGAGACTCTACAAAAACTTAAAACTCAAGAAAAGAAAGTCGATTATCTGGTGCGTGCAAAACGCACCGAGGAAATTTCTCTTATCATCAAAGCCATGGAGGAAAAAACCGAGCAAGCAAAGCAGCTGTGGGAACAACAAGAAGCCGAGCGTATCCAAGCCGCTATCGAGGAACGTAAAGAGATGCAGGCTACTCGTGAGCGACTTGCAAGAACTAAGGAGGAAGCTGAAAGCTTCTTGGAGAAAATCATGGCAGAGCGCAAGAGTATCTACTTGGAAAAGTTGGCCGCTTTCGAGACTAAGCTGGAACAAGAACGTGCCAAACGTTTGTTGGAGAGAAAGATCCAACGAAAGATCGATCGCAAGCTCCAATGGGAGAGAGAAATCGCAGAAGCGGCTGAGAGAAAGAGGATTGAGGAACAGAGGGCTCAGCTCGAAGAAGAAAGAGCTAAGCGAGAAGAAGAAGAAAAAGTTAAAAAAGCCGAAGAAGCTGAAAGATTGGCCAAACTCGAAAGACAAGCTGAAATTAGAAGACAAAAGGAATTAGAAATTGAAAAGAAACTGGAAGAGGATAAGCTCAAGGCGTTGGAAAAAGACAAATCTCGAGCTCCTTCTTGGAGAACGTCTTGTAAGCACCGCTTGATATTATATATATTAATTAATTTTTTTACACATAATTATTTTACAGATGAAGAAGAAAGAAGTTTCCGTGAAAGCTCTTGGCGTAGCACACAGGAACCACGCGAACATGACGGTCCCCGGAATCGCCACGGCCCGCGTGATCGCGATGGACCTAGAGATCGCGACGGACTAGGAGATAGGGATAGCCCGAGTGATCACGACGGACCAAGAGATAGGGATGGCCCGAGAGATCGTAACGAACCAAGAGATCGTGACGGACCCAGTAACCGCTTTCGAGATGGTGACGACTCTCAAAATAGCGATGGTCCGAGATGGCAGCGAGTTGGCGATCGCAGAAGGGATCGCGATCGTAATTCGAATAGAGGAGACAGCAACCAGGAGGGACGCTGGTCCAATGACCGCTACAGAGATCGTAATACTGGCGGCAGCGTAAGGTCAATGGCGAACTGGAGAGTCGCCAAAGAACAACCTCCAGCGCGCGATCCGCCGAGTTGAGAAGTCAAAAAGTAAGACTCCTCGGATCTTATTTTGCTTTCTTTACGTTATGTGATATTTGAGAGACATTCATTTCTAATTTATTTTGTTTTTTTTCAGGTGGAGGAATACTAGGTAGACCAAAATATTATAGTTACCGCATATTTTTGTAAGTTAAAAATCCATTGTTACTTTTAGTAAATTCCTATATTGTTACTTATAAAGTTATATATTTATAAATTTACTAATATAAAGTTATCTACATTTCATAAGAATAGAATTTATTTGCTTCCTTTTCTACTATCTTATAATGATAAATGTTTAAATAATTTTGAATTTTTTTCAAAAATACTGTTGAAGCCGTAAAACATAAAATTCTCTTAGTTACATTATTTTCGCGGATGGTTCTCAAATCAATAAATTAGAAAAATGTGAAAATTGAGGTAAATCCTGTGAAAGCGTACTATTTAGATCAATTCATATTGAAATACATTGTTCGGGCATTATTTCTATATTATTAAATGATGAAATGAGCGTCTTACTATATTGCATTTAATGTAAAATAGAAACATTTACCGTAAATTGCTATTCGGTATGTCACTTATCACTATTCGAAAGTTATGATACAATTTTCAAAATTATCGCGGTTATACTCGCCACTCGTAAAATGATGCTTGCGTCGTCGCGGTTACTGACTTGTCTCTAGTCTCGCCGACCCCAGCATTCCACCAGCGGCACATATAGCGAGGCCATGTTGAAATTCGCCTACATGTAGGTAATCGTTGCGGCGATATCATGACTGGTGGCGTGCCGCATCGACGTAGACTATTTCGCAGCTAATGAAAAAAATTCATTCGCCATGGGATCGCTCGATTCCCCGAAGAATCGAATCAATTATTATTTATAAAATAAAGTGGTAAAAATAATTTTTTTCTCTTATTAAATGATATGTATGTTCAAGTCTCGTAGTAGATAAATAACTGCTAGGTTTCTTTTGAAGTTAATAAGTTAAGAGAATGAATTTGTAAAAACATTGAAGGAATAAAACCAATAATATTTTGAAATATAAATTTGCAATTCCTTTTTTCAATTGAAAGAATTTAAATTTCATTACTGGACTCCGAAGATCATCTAAAATGTGAATCATTCTGAAACTCATAGAACTAAAATAAATTGAAAATACATTGATAACATAATTATTTTGATTATTTTTAGTTATCGCGAGGCAAAGAGCATAATAATAAAAACACATTTAAATAGTTTTCAGTAATGCAATTCCCATTATATCTTTTGTTCCGACCTACAAGTGAAAACAATTGTTTACGTGACATCCAAAACAATTAGTTTTTTTCAGAGCAGAGTTGATCTCCAACGTTTATTTATAAACATAACGAGTTTCGTCCTACGAGTATTTGCATAACGATTGAGTAGTAATTTTTTTCACATCGTATAACATTTAATTTTCAAATAGACTGTTATCGTGCTATTCTTTTAATTTTTTTATACTTGCTTTGTTCCAACCTTCGACTATTTAATTCAATTATTATTCAACTATTATTATTTGCAATTTACGATTAAAAATCAAGTAAACGCAGTACAGTGAGATCATAATTTTAAAATGTTCGCGCTGAAACATTAGGATACGATTTAAAGTGGAGTCACGTACGCAAGTCGACTCCCTCTGCATTTCAGGAACCGCAAATAAGATTTCGCCTTGGCGGAGTCGAATGGAATTGCACAGCCGCGACCCGCCACGAGGCTATCTGAATTTACAGCCTAAGCCGTTCTATCTCGGGTATTTTTTATATAAAAAAGTTTTCGCCGAGCAACAATTTTGCGATCGAGAGCCATCCCCGAGGGGCCGAGACGAAGGATTTAGTCCTTAAACCACTTCATTCTATATGCATATTACATCGTTGACAGACAAATCATCTGTTCAATATCGATACTGCTGTGAACACCATCAAATCCCAACAAGATGGCCAGGTACGGACAGAGGCCGGAAAATGCGCTCAAGCGAGCTAATGGTAATATTCAATAATATTATTGTTCAATCAATTAGCCATAACTTGTTCGTATCGGTTTGGAGTCGTGTACAAACTTACTAACTGCAAGCCGCTTAATACTCAAGCCATTGATTTTTTTTTTGGTTAGAGGTTGGAATGCGATAACCAACGCGGCACGCCAATGGCTTGAACAGGCTTCAATATTTCTTTCTACCTTTAACTGCATTTCTTTTACCTTCTTGGAAATATCATATTCGCGATTTTATTCATGATAAACTAATCAATGTTTGGTCAATGTTCTACCACATTTACTTTTTAAAATTTTTAAGCACCATGAATTAGTATGCAGTTATTGGTTTAATATGACAATATGATAAAACACTGATAGTTCATGTACAACATATGCAATCCAAATAAAATCAATTTTTGTGTGTCTTAACATTATTATGTATTTACATTTCTGATGTGGTGAATTTATTATTTACAGAATTCATTGAAGTAGGCAAAAAAGCCAGAGCTCTTGATACACTTCAGGAAGTTTTTAGGAACAAAAAATGGACTTACAATTGGGCAGAATCGGTTCTCGAACCGATTATGTACAAATACTTGGAATTATGTGTGGAACTGAAAAAATCTCATATTGCCAAGGAGGGTCTCTTCCAGTACAGAAATATGTTCCAGGCTGTCAATGTAAGCAGCTTGGAAAATGTTATCAGATACTACTTGCGTCTGGCCGAAGAAAAAACAGAAGCAGCTCGAAAACAGAGTCAACAAGCTGTTATTGACATTGATGATCTTGATAATTTAGCTACTCCTGAAAGTATTTTACTTTCTGCTGTCAGTGGCGAAGATGCACAAGACAGAAGCGATAGAACTATTTTGACACCATGGGTCAAATTTTTATGGGAATCGTACTGCCAATGCTTGGAGCTATTGAGAACCAACGCACATGTTGAAACTTTGTATCATGACATTGCTCGCATGGCTTTTGCATTTTGTCTGGAATATGTCCGCAAGACTGAGTTCCGCAAATTATGCGAAAAATTGCGCAAACATTTGGAAGATATCAGTAAATTGCCTCAGATGGCATCTAATGTCTCTATCAACAAAATGGAAACGCAACAGCTTAATCTAGAAACTAGATTGATTCAATTAGACTCAGCAATTCAAATGGAACTGTGGCAAGAAGCTTATAAAGCTATTGAAGATATTCATGGTTTAATGAACTTATCCAAGAAATTACCTGTGCCCAAAACAATGGCTAATTATTATCAAAAATTAGCAATGGTGTTCTGGAAAGCTGGAAACTATCTTTTCCACTCTGCAGCTTTGTTCAAGTTGTTCCAATTGTCAAGAGACATGAAGAAAAACATGTCCTCAGATGAACTCCAACGAATGGCAAATAGAGTTCTTTTAGCCACTCTGTCAATTCCACTGCCTTCTGCTCATCCAGAATTTGACCGTTTTATTGAAACTGATAAAAGCCCTCAAGAAAAGGCACAAAAACTTGCAGTATTGCTAGGTCTTTTGCAACCTCCTTCCAGAGCTTCCTTATTGAAGGATATCGTTCGTCTCAATGTTGTGAATTTGGCTTCACCCGCTATTCAGGACTTATACAATTGGTTAGAAGTTGAGTTCCACCCACTTGATCTTTGTTGTCGCGTTGAATCTGTTGTCACCACACTTCAGCAAGATGAGTCCAGTCCGTTACTGCAGTATATTCCAGCGCTGCAAGATTTAACACTTGTCCGCCTAATTCACCAAGTATGTATACTATACTGATAGAGTATTTATTCATTGCTTTAAAATTTTATTTAACAAAATTTTTTGTTCAATTTAGATTTCTCAAGTCTATCAAACAATTCAATTGACTAGATTGATTGAGTTGGCCAAATTCACCGACGTCTTTCACCTTGAACGTCTTTTAGTAGATTGCGTACGTTACAATGATATGCAGATACGTATTGATCATGGCAAGAAAAGCATCCATTTCGGAGTTGACTTGTCTGAGGCCCAACGCGAGGATCATCCCGATGGTCCAGTGTTGCAAGCTATGCCATCCGAGCAGATTCGATGCCAATTGGTCAACATGGCGACTGTTCTCCATCGCGCCAACAATATTATCAATCCAAATAAGAAGAAACAAGAGCGTGAAAAGCTCCGTGCCCAGATGGTGCAATACTATCATGACACAAAGGTGAAAGAACACCAACGTATTCTTGGGCGTCATAAGATCATCGAAGAGCGCAAGGAGTACATTGAGCATATGCACTATGTGCGTGAGCAAGAGGAAGAGCGTCGCCAAGAGGAGATTCAACGTCAACAACAATTGGCCGAACAAAAACGCCTTGAGCAGGAGAGAGAAGAACGTGAACGCAAACGTCAGCAGTCTGAGATTCAACAGATCAAGGACCGCACATTGAAGGAAAAGATGCAGCAAATCTCGCAAACGAGTCACGGTCAGAAGGTCCTGAAAAAACTTGATGAAGATGAAATTAAGAAGCTCGATGCAGAGCAAATCGCCGCTCGCGAAGCTGAAGAATTGCAGAAGGAGCGCAAAGAAACTCAGCAAAAGCTCAAGTCTCAAGAAAAGAAGGTCGATTATCTGGAGCGTGCTAAACGCACCGAGGAAATTCCCCTTATCATCAAAGCCATGGAGGAAAAAACCGAGCAAGCAAAGCAGCTGTGGGAACAACAAGAAGCCGAGCGTATCCAAGCCGCTATCGAGGAACGTAAACAGATGGAAGCTACTCGTGAGCGACTTGCAAGAACTAAGGAGGAAGCTGAAAGCTTCTTGGAGAAAATCATGGCAGAGCGCAAGAGTATCTACTTGGAAAAGTTGGCCGCTTTCGAGGCTAAGCTGGAACAAGAACGTGCCAAACGTTTGTTGGAGAGAAAAATCCAACGAAAGATCGATCGCAAGCTCCAATGGGAGAGAGAAATCGCAGAAGCGGCCGAGAGAAAGAGGATGGAGGAAGAGAGGGCCCAGCGCGAAGAAGAAAGGAAGCGCATGGAGGAAGAGAGAGCTAAGCGTGAAGAAGAAGAAAAGGCTCGAAGAGCTAAGGAAGAGGCGAAAGAAGCTGAAAGGTTGGCCAAGCTCGAAAGACAAGCTGAAATTAGTAGACAGAAAGAGTTGGAAATTGAAAAGAAATTGGAAGAAGATAGACTCAAGGCAATGGAGAGAGACAGACCTCAACCATCGAGTTGGAGAAAGAATCGTAAGCACCGTTCAATACTTTAAAATTTTTACATTTATTATTAAAATTTAAATATAATAACACTTTTCATCTATTTTACAGTTGGAGGAGAATCCGTTGGCGGTGGCAGCTCTTGGCGCAGCAAACAGGAAGCACGCGAACGCGACGGTCCCCGGGATCGCGACGGCCTTCGTGACCGCGATGTCCCGAGAGATCGCGACGGACCAAGAGATCGCGACGGACCAAGAGACCGCGACGGTCCCCGGGATCGTGATGGACCGAGAGACCGCGACGGGCCAGCTCCAAGATGGCAGCGAGGTGGCGATCGCAACATGGATCGTGATCGCAACATGGATCGCGATCGCAACATGGACAGAGAAGACAACCGTGACAGACCTCGTTCCGATTTCCGCTTCAACAGAGACCGCAATTACGATCGTAATATGGACCGCGACTCGAAGCCCATGGAAAACTGGAGGAACGCGTCCAATGTGAAAAAGGAACAAGCACCAGCACGCGATCCACCGAGTCGAGAAATCGAAAAGTAAGTATCCTTTGATACTTTGCTCTTACAAGATATGATTTTTCGACGTGATATTTTAAAAACATGTTTGCTAATTAATTTCGTTTTTATTTCAGGAGAGATCCTCCAAAAGAAAACAAAGAGGAAAAGAAGAATGACGATGACGGCTGGGCAACAGTCACACGACGTTAATTGTAAATAACATTCGCTAAGGTTAATTAAAGTTTAATGTAATTAAGTTTGCTTAATAAAAAATAAAAAAAAATAGCTTAAAAATAATAAATGTTATAGTTTTTTATTTACTTATTATTATACATACATTCCTTGATAAAATTATAATTACAATTGCTTAAACTGACTTAAAGTACTATGCATTAGTCGCACCAGTTGTTGAGCCTGCAGCATCTGTTTTATTGACTGATTGATCTGGTAGTAAGGACGGTGGTATCGTTAGAGTCTGAAATAAAAAATTCACTCAATGTATCTCATTGTGATATTGAACATATGAAATAATGATGGAAATAAATTGTACCTGTCCAGGTAACATTGCTTCATATTGGTGCCTTAAAGATTGTAATTCAAAGTTACAGGTGTTTAAAGCTTGTTTTAATTCATAGTGAAGAACAATGTCACTCCTCAACTCATTGAATTGTTGACATATTTGTTCAGTCGGAGGTGGATTTGAATCTATAAATATTAAGTGAGACATACTTTAATTGTTCGAGCAATATAATAGATAACTTTTGAAATCTGCCTATTTTACCTATGTTTAATTCAACTAGTGTTTGTTCTATGCCTTTCATCTTCTTCTGTCCTAAACTACTAGGTAGTTTGATCCTCTGAGAACGTAGTGAAACACCACTATTTTTAACATCCGGAAACTTAATACCAGTTGGTTCAGCCACATGTAATTTACCAGTCTGAAATGAATATTTTATGGTATGATGAAGAATACAAAAATATTTTACTACAATGAATGTATAATATCATTAACGAGCTTACATTAGTGGAGTCAGATCTGCTAACTTTTTGTCTAGAAGTAGTGTTAGTCTTTTTCGAAGACTTCCTATCATTTTTCTTAGTTTCCGCTTGATTATCAGCAGCAGTAATTAACTTCTGCAGATCCTGGGTTTTGCGATCTCTCTCTTTCTTACGTTGCTCAATTTTCCTGAGTTCTATAAGCAATGTTTGTTCCTCTTCTACTTGTTTTTGAGTGCGTTCAAATAGTTTTTTCAATTGCTCTTTTCTTTTCTTCTCGTGTTCATAATCATAGTGGTAGATTTTTTCATGTTGGTTTTTAACTTTGTTTAGACTTGCACAAACTTGGTAATACCTAAAACAAAAATATAGTTTTTTTGTATCAAAATAATGAACTTTATTGTAATCAATTGCTTGAATGTCAAAAGCATTTACCTGTTTTTTAAATCTTCTACTGATCTCGCAGTGAATTTTTTGTCCCACCTGTCGTGTATAATGATAAATCTTAAATCGAATCTTTTACACAAGTCAAACAAATGATCAGTTTCAGCCTCTGTCCATCCACTGGTTACTAAATGCTGTACATATTCTGTGTGAGTATACGTTGGAATAGGCACTTTCTTGTTGAACCCAGCGAAGGGATATTCTTTTCCAGCATCGACCACTCGCCTCCAATGATGAAAGGTAGCTCCATCGGTTCTGGCAGGATTGGTAAAGGGCGTCCATTCCCAAGCTCGAACCCTTTTCATGCCCAGTTTGGCTTTGATCTTGCTGTAGCCTTTTCCAGTGTCAGTGGGATACAGCGGTGGCACGACATTGTTGTCCTGGCGTATCAAGGCGTAGACCTCGCGGTTCATGCCCTCGGGACGTTTCGACGTCCTCGTATTTTCCGGGCGTTTTCGGGCCCTCTTGTCGCTGCCTAAAATTGCCTCCTTGGTCACCTCCGGGGCGGCCGGGGTCTCCAAGTCCAAAATATCGCGTACGTCGGCCATGGCACCGATAAAGTTTTTAATTACACTTTAAACAAAAACTCGACGACGGGAACAATGATTATCGACTAACAATAAAACAAATTCACATTTCAAAATTATAAGTCACTTATTTTTGTAAATAAAACAATAAATAGACAGCACAGGTTTCAATGCTGACGACAACAGACATCGACTGTAAACATAACCTCGTGCAAATGATGCGGTTCGATTATCCCGGCGTCGTCGGCCGTCGAGCGCGTGTATTACAAAGGTTTGAAATTTTTCAGCGCCACGCAGCACTTTGCGCAGTCACTTCGACGTGTGCGGGCTGAACTCCGATCTCTCAGATGTCTCTCGGTTTTTGCCGATTCAGACGCTCATATCGATATGTGCTACTGTTAGATACAATAGATTATATTCGATTATAATTTTTAATAATTATTCATTAACTTTTAACTTTATTAAATTATAATCGTCGCAAAAAATTGAGTAAACATAGAAGCAAAGATGAGCGATTAAAGATTTCTTTTTCCTCTTTCCGAAAGTGTAACAACTTAAAAAAACAAAAAACAATTGTCTCGAATGAAGGAAAGTTTGGCGCTTAGCGTCTTTATTTATCAAGTGTATACGACTTACGGTCATTTTGCACGATAAAAAACCTGATGCGAAAAGAATCCGATGAAAAAAGTTTTAAGTTCTGCGACTGCGAATCGTACGGGAGCACGACTACAAACTTAAAAAAAAGACCACGCATTATTAATGAGAATTTTTTTGTAAATTGACGAAATATAACATTTGAGGTATTTGAAAAATTAATTTTAATCATAAAATACACTAACCCAGAACCCTGATACACTTAATTCCAAGGTTTTTAAAATTACTATAATGGAATACTTTTCTCTTGAAATTTGTTGAAAATCTTTAAGTAGCCTGAAATGGTTTAGTTGAATTCAGTCAATCGCGCATTCTTTATTTTTTACTTATAAAACAACGTACGTTAAATAATGTTATAGCTTCTAAATATATTTCAAATATATTTCGATTTTCTTGATGTCTACGAATATTATTGCGAATCATTGCATTGATTATTTTCGTTTTTCGTTTATATATCAAAGGCATGGAACTAGTTCCTGATTCTTTATACACTTCAATCATATCTTGTATAATTTAAAAATAAAGTTGATGTAAAAATATTTCTCAGAATCATGTTTCAAGTTCATGATTACCCTATGGATAAAATCATTCCCACAATATATTTGATCGCGCAAATTTAAACGTAATTCATTACGCTGATATTCATAAGGATTGTGACACAATAAATGAAGAAAAAACAAAAAATAATCCAATAATACTTCTCCAGAATGTGAGAAAAATAGACGGGGATGCACAAGCTTCTTTCAACTGTATTATGATAACCAATTAGTTTCTGAGAATTTTACAACTGGTCCAAGTAAATATACAAAAAAAAACCACCGACAAGAATCCTAAAAAAGTTTGCATCTATTTTCAAAACTATCTCGATTTATTCTAGTATTGAATAGTGTAGTAACTGCTATTTTTTTGATAAAACATCATCGATTTGATACGAAAAATTTGAAACTCGCCATACTAAAAATCATTGTCCTCCCCAACACCCTGACATATTGATTCATATTGGGGGATATGAAAATCCATCGCATAAACTTGAAGTTGTAATGAACAATAGCCGATGGCGAATAATTTTTTTCGGAAACAAAAATTTCAATGTACTAGTTGATTATTTTTAATTGTTATAAAATAAATTTAATTATAAATTAACGTTATTGAACACAAGATCTAATTCAACTTGTCAAGGAAATTTCAAACCAACTGATGTAAAATTTAATTTTTATGAAAGCTATTCTTTCCCCCCTTCACCCCCAAAAAAAGAACAACGTTTCTATCAACACTAAACGTTGCCTGATATACATTTTACAATATACGCGCGTTTTCTATTATCAAATATATGAAAAAATAATTAAAACGATTTATTTCTATTGTTCTATTATTTTTATCATAGCCGCGGTGGATTAATATGTAATATAACTGTGTTACATGTGTACGATATATGAATACGTAATACCCACGATTACTGATTTAGCATTATTCCGTAGCAAATTGTTTTTCATTTAATTCTACTTGTAAGACACATTTTGTTTCAACAAAAACCGAACATATCTGAATATGAATTATAAAATACGCACGTGTGCTTATTTTTAGTTATTAAACTTGAATGTGAAGAAATTGAGAGTAATAACTTCTATTGTGCAATTGTTTTTATTATAGTCACGCTGTTTCTGGATATTAATAGAAAGTATGAAAATAAATATTAATGAGAAATAATTAATAACTAGCTACAACGACCCCCTTAACATTATTCTACATCAAATAAGTTATAATTTAACTCCATTTGTAAGTGTCAGCTTCCTTCAGAAAATATAATTATTCTTGTTTTTATAAAGACAAATAAAAAAAGAGGCATTATTGAATTTCGATATAATAAATAATGAATGAAAACAATATTACATTTTTTGATCGAATTTTTCATTGAAGATGGAAACTAATCTTTGACAACTACCCGAAAAAGAATATGTTCTTAAGAACTGATTTTCCTCGATGTGTAGGTGTAGGTAAATTAAAAAAAAATTAAAAACTGTAAATGACGCGACGAAAAAACAAAAGTTGAAAATTCGTTCCAACTTATCGCAGATACAAGCGTTTGACTTTTTGTCTTGACCGAGCACCCAAGTCAAAATTGTACCATGAATGTAGCGACAAAAAAAATTAAATTATCACGATTAAAAATGAGTTTAAAAATATTAACAAAAAGAAATAAAAATGAATATTAACTATCCTCGGAAATTTTGAGCTTTTGTAGGGGAAAATATTTCGAGGAGAAGATTTAAACACAGAAAAGACGAACTCTTGACACGATAATAGTCAAAAATATTTAATCAACCAGTCTAAAAAAAATTCATGTACCACCTAATAAGACAAAAATATATGCAAATGTGTGAAGACAATCACAACCGAATATTATCATCGAATTGTTCCTTTGTCTGGAAAATAAAGAGTAGATCCAGCGGTAAGTTCAACAAATCTCATGACGATAATAATCATAGATTGTTACAATATCGAAACCGAAAGAAAATCCTGACTAGAGAATAACTTTACCATACTTAGTATCATTCAAATTGTTCCACAGGAAGACACCGACGCTCATGGTATGACGCTTTTCACGAGGCGGTATAAATATTCATTAAGGGACACGTCGTGCACTTGCGTCACGCCACATGCGTCCAATGAGTTTCTTCAACTTGTTTTCAGTTGTCAGAAAATTGAACAGTAGAGTATAAGTGCAAACTCGACAAAATAATTTTTCTAAACTTATCCTTCTTCTGTAAAATTCAAAGGTCAATCGGAAAATTTCAATATATCAATATCGTAGGCAATCCTGTATCAATAAAAATATGTTCTCACCGGGTCGATTTCAAACTATCCCAGGAGAGTCGTCGTCGTTTTCGGGCTAACGCATTTTCACGTGGCGGATAGCGCCCGTATGGGACACGACGTGAAAATGAGTGAGTCCGAGCTCGACGAAATATTTTTCCACACTGATCCTTCTTCTGTAAAATTTACTGGTCAATTCGTCTGAAAATTCGGAAATATTTTCATGGAGGAAATCGGAAATTTTTTAAATATCAAGATCGAAGGAAATCCTGTATCAATGAAAATATTTTCTCACCGGGTCGATTTCAAACTATCCCAGGAGAGTCGTCGTCGTTTTCGGGCTAACGCATTTTCACGTGGCGGATAGCGCCCGTATGGGACACGACGTGAAAATGAATCAGTCCGAGCTCGACGAAATATTTTTCCAAACTGATCCTTCTTCTGTAAAATTTACTGGTCAATTCGTCTGAAAATTCGGAAATATCTTCATGGAGGAAATCGGAAATTTTTTAAATATCAAGATCGAAGGAAATCCTGTATCAATGAAAATATTTTCTCACCGGGTCGATTTCAAACTATTCCAGGAGAGTCGTCGTCGTTTTCGGGCTAACGCATTTTCACGTGGCGGATAGCACCCGTATGGGACACGACGTGAAAATGAGTTAGTCCGAGCTCGACGAAATATTTTTCCACACTGATCCTTCGTCAGGAAAATCCAATAGCAGATCCAACACTTGACTCAAAAATCTATTCGCCGAGGAGATCGAAAAATTTTTAAATATCAAGATCGAAAAGAAATTCTAAAGAAAATTTGTTCTGAACGAGACGTTATTAGATTGGTCCAGGGAGTGTCACTGACGTTTTCGGCCTCACACATTTTCACGTGGCGGATATCGCCCGTAAGGGACACGACGTGAAAATGTGTGAGCCCGAACTCGACAGAATTACTATCACCGATCTGACCCTTCGTCTTCGAAAGCTAATAGTCGAATGAGCAGAAGCTCGAAGGTTTCCTACTTAAGTACCAAAAAATTGTTCCCTCTCCAGTGTATTTCGCAGGGAGAGATGATTCTACTGACCGATTTGGCCGTCTCCTATAATACTATTATTTAAGTTGCCGTATATAAAAATTAGTGAATAGTTTCTGTCAATACATCATTTTATGTACCTACTTTAATGTTTACAAACGTATGATACAATGGTGTCTTACCTTCCGATGAATACATGAAACGATATATAAAGTAAACTCTCGACTATTCCGTAATAACTTGTAAATAATAGCGTTAAAATTTTCTAAGATGACCCTTATATACGATAGGTACTATGTATCAAAGAAAATTAAATAAATTGAAAAATTTTTTTTTACTACCGATTTATTATCAATACAAGCCGATGGTAAAATTCAGTCTTGGCGGTATCAATGCTCCCATTGTAAGAAAAAGCAAGTAAAATGACAAATTTCTAAGTTCATATTGAAGTCATATTGAAATCTCAATACACTTTCACAAAGGGAAATTATACAAATTCTTGTAGTAGCCGTTATTGCAGTTATATTACAATGTTAGCGTTGCACAGATTTGTAGATTCTTTTTAGTTCGTCAATAATGTGTAATTCATGCAAGTATTTACCGATCGTATATGCTACTTGTCTTCATTCGAATTGAAGCCGATTTTCTTTTTGGAATGGCAAGTGCAATAAACGAAACCTCTTTAATCGCAGATATGATCTTAAAAAATAATATCGATATTATTACTTCAATGAAAATGATCAATATTTGACTG